AGCAGGTTTTTTCCTGTCAGCAGAAGACGGATGAACACAGCCAGAGCCAACTGTCTCCGTTGTTTGAGCAGGCTGATGAACCGCAACCACCTCAGTGGCAAATAAATCATAGAATCATAGAATCATAGAATGCTTAGGGTTGGAAGGGACCTCTAGAGATCATCTAGTCCAACCCCCCTGCATACGCAGGGACACCTAAAGCACGTGGCGCAGGACTGCATCCAAGCGGGTTTTGAAGATCTCCAGAGAAGGAGACTCCACAACCTCTCTGGGCAGCCTGTTCCAGCGCTCTGTCACCCTCACTGTCAAGAAATTTTTCCTTAAGTTCCTATGAAATTTTTGGTGTTTCAGTTTCCGGCCATTTCCTCTAGTCCTATCAGTGGCCACCACTGAAAAGAGACCATCACCGTCCCCTGCATTCCCTCCCTTGAGGTATTTATATACACTGATTAGATCCCCTCTCAGACTTCTCTTCTCCAGGCTGAACAGGCCCAGCTCCCTCAGCCTCTCCTCATAGGGCAGATGTTCCAGGCCCCTCATCATCCTTGTAGCCCTGCGCTGGACTCTCTCCAGCAGCTCCACATCCCTCTTGTACTGTGGAGCCCAGAACTGGACACAATACTCCAGATGCGGCCTCACCAGGGCTGAGTAGAGGGGCAGGATCACCTCCCTCGACCTGCTGGAGATGCTCTTCTTAATGCAGCCCAGGATTCCATTGGCCTTCTTGGCCACGAGGGCACACTGCTGCCTCATGGTCAACTTGTCGTCCACCATGACACCCAGGTCTTTCTCCGCAGAGCTGCTCTCCACAAGCTCAGTCCCCAGCCTGTACTGGTGTCTGGGGTTATTCCTCCCCAGGTGCAGAACCTTGCACTTGGCCTTGTTGAATTGCATGAGGTTTTTCACCGCCCAGTTGTCCAGTCTGTCCAGGTCCCTCTGGATGGCAGCACAGCCCTCTGGGGTATCGGCTACTCCTCCCAGTTTGGTATCACCAGCAAACTTGCTGAGGGAGCACTCTGTGCCTTCATCCCTTACGACCAACCAGGAATAGATGCTTCTGGAGATGGAAGGGCCAAGGATTCTCACTCCAGTTGACTTGTGCTTTATTGCCCAAGGAATTCAAATGATTACTCACATAGGAGCAACTCTACAGCACATGTATTGGAGTCTGGCCATATAAAATATAGTAGAGTAGGCATTTTGGGGGAGCCTGAGCATGAGAAGGGATGAGGGCTGGTGCTTAACGCAGTCTTGAGGATTTGGCCGTGTGGTCTGTTAGGGGTTCTTCCTATGAGGGTTACACATCTGTAGGAAACACATCCAACAAGCTTCGAAGTTCAGCAGCAGGTTTTTTCCTGTCAGCAGAAGATGGATGAACACAGCCAGAGCTAACTGTCTCTGTTGTTTGAGCAGGCTGATGAACCACAACCACCTCAGTGGCAAATAAATCATGGCAAGGGTTGGATTTTGTCATTTTTATTAGCACAGGAGAGGGGGCATTCCCATCAGTGGCCCTGCCATCAGGCTTGGAGGCAGGTAGTGCCAGCAGGGACAAACTGTGGTGCAGCAAACCCAGACAGGCTGGACAGGGCTCAGCAGCTCCCCGGGACCACTGCCTACCAGTTACCTCCCCAGAGATAATAATAATAATAATGAAAAAAAAAACACAAAAGTGGGGCCTTTTTGGCCCAGTGTGCTTTCTTCTGCTGCTTCTGCTTTTGATGCCTCGGTGTACCCTCTTTGGCACTGCAGGGTACTTAGGCAAGGTAGCACCTTTCTAGGGCTATGGAGCAAAGCTCAGCAAGAGCTGGCAGGCTCCAGCCTGCACTGCCTGGGGCACTGTCACCAGTGGAGAGCGGAGGAAGGGACCAGGCGACTGCAAAGCCTGCAAAAGAAACGCTCTTTGAGTCAGTATATGGCCAGGGGGAGGCTGCGGAAAATTACTGCGATGCCATCGGCACGTGCAATCTTGTGGGACAGTTCCGTGAATACCAAAGTGTAACCACGGGGAAAAGCAACCGCTCAAACGTTAGCGAGGTTACGCTGGTCTGCACGTGGCGGGGCTGGCAGCTAACCCAGTGAAGCTTAGGTCTGCGGGCCGAGGTGCAACGGGTACAGAAGGGACTGTGGCCGGGAGGGCGGCTGGATCCTGGGACCCGTTTCGCTGGCCGTGGATAAGCCCCAGAGCCCCTCTGTATCCATCAGTCCCGGAGCGCCTGGAGAGCTGTGCAATTCCAGAGCCAAAGCGAGGGCAGCTCCATGCCTTACCTGCTCATGCAACGCGTGGGTAGTGGTGCTGCCTGTTGAAAACACCAAATGGATTTCATCCGTGTGCTGTAGCTTATAAACACGTCCGTGAGAAACCGTCCTCTCCGGCTGCCTCATGCTGCCCGGCTCCACAGGGCTCTCCTCCCAGGGAGCGACACACCAGGAGGTCACGGGGCCGGGAACCAAGCTGAACCCCACCGTGTTTCACAGCAGCTGCAGGGGCTCCCTCTGCACCAGCGTGGGGCTGAGAGCAAGTGTTGGAGCCTGAGAGCCTCCAACCCTCTCCAACCTGCAGTGCTGCAGCTGCCCAAACTGATTGCCCCCTTGTTAATTAAAAGGGCTGCGTAGGTGGCTCAGGCCCAGCTGGAGGGTGCTGGCTGGCTGAGCCTCTGTGGTGTCTGTGTGAGCTGCTGCACCATGGCAGGAGCGGGGTGCCCTGTGCTGCTGGTGCCCCTTCTCGCGTCCCTTCTCTCGTGGTGCGGTGAGTCCCCGAGCGGTGGCTGTGGGCAGCCGTGCTCTTGTGTGGGGCCGTGACGGGCGGCACGGCTGCTCTAATGGGCCAGCCAAGCAGGACTCCCAAACCAGCGTGTTATTTGAGTGAAGTTTGTTATTGCTGTCTGAGAAATCTTTCCTACCCTTGTCATCCATGCACTGCTTGGCAGAGCACTTGTTCTGGTCGCTGAGATGAGCGAGCTGTTCTCCATAGGCTGCTCTGCTGCAATGAGCTCCCTTGGCTATGACAGGAAGAGAAATAATTGTGACCATGGAGCAGTTACCTCAGAAGTATCTTGAAGAGCAATGAGCAGCGTCTTGCTGCTGACACTATGTTCTTGAGTTCTTCTGGTGCTTCTTCCTGGTGAAGCTGAAATATTAACTCCCTTTCTGGCCTTTACTCCAACCAAATAAATAAACTTCTTTCCTAGGAACAGTTCTAGGTGAAAGAGAAATTATGCCTTGTGAAAGGATAGTTCCCTCTAGAGAGGGCACACTGCAAAGAGAGGTCACAGTGGGCAGAGGGACAGTGCTCTTCAGAGCAACTTCTTAATAAAACTATCATTAAAAGGACTGGCCCAGCTGGGGCAAAAAGATGGTGTGAGGGGTGGTGGTGTGATAGCTGGTGATGCTTGAGAGCCAGACTCTTGTTCTTCTCTGCTGTCTTGTTTATGAACATTATTAATCCAAAGTGACTGCAGTGGAGCTGACCCAGGCTCACATCAGGGCGAATGCAGTGCGAATGCCTCTGGAGTCCTCAGCGTTTTGTTGCTTGTGCGTGGCTGACACCAACGTTGTGTGGAGGCCTCCCAGGGCTGCCTGGGAAGGGGCATGGGATCCCCACCGATTTACCTGTTGTCATGAGAAATGTGAACTAACGGTGCAATTTCAGCTGGGGCAGCTTTGGACAGGAGCCTGCTGAAGGGAGCGGAGGGAGAGCAGCTCTCCTCTTCCTGGCAAAGGAGCCAGAAGCCTGGAACTACCCCTCTCTCCAAACGGACCAGCCTAGAGAAAAAGACACCCGGTATGAGGAGTTGCAGTCATTTCCTCTTCTTTTTGCCACAAGTATTTAAAATAGCACTTTGCAGTGCTCTTTGCTATGATTAACGTGTCCTGCAGCTGATGGAGTGGGGTAGTGCACCCTTTGCCTTCCCAGCCCAGCATGGGATCTGGCAGGCCTATCAACTGTATGTGTTATTCCCTGCTGTGTGAGCATTACTTTTTTTTCTTATTTATGTTTTTTTTTCCAGAAAATGTAAATGGGATGGCAACAAATTTATCTCAAATTGCACAGTTCACTGAAGCATCTAAAACTTAATCAGACCCAAACATCCCTGGCTAGCCTCCACTCCAAGTCAAACTTTCCCCATGCTCATCATCTACATTTCTGAGGCACAACTGGTGCCAAGAGCAATGTGAGAAAGCTCTGTCTTCTTGCAATGCATTTCAGACTCAAGCCAAGACCGAGTGCTGGGTTGACTCAATTCACAGATGAGATCTTTCACAAGGACTCCAGTGGCTTTGGTTGTTAAATGCCACTGGGCACTCTATAGATATGGGAGTGTGAAGATAACAAATTTTGAATACACTCAGGTGGCATTCTTATCTGTTGCACTTGCTACTTAATTTTGCAGGTTGCATTTTATTAGGAATAATTAGTTTACTGGATGAAATCTAAATTAAATTTCTTCACGACTGTACACACTTCATAAAAGTAATTGACAGTAGACCTCAGCTTTGCATACATCAACTTCTTATCAAGGCATTCACTTTCTGTGTACTTTTTTTTTTTTAAGCTCTGCATAATTGCCTTCAGCTTGGAGCTTGGGCTGGAGTCAGGAAAGCTGTAACACCTGGGATGTGTCCTATCACTTTCCCATCCTTCAGGAAAACCTGAAGTCTGAAATAGTGCTTTTGGGGCTTGTGCAAGGCTGTCTCGCTGCAAAATACTCTCATTTCTTTCATGCAGACCTGAAATGTGGTCTTCGTCCTATTGATCTGAAGAGCCCAGAGGATTTTCTACCACTTAGCTCCTTCTCTCGAATCGTTGGTGGGAGAGACTCTGTTCCCGGAGGTCAGCCTTGGCAGGTCTGTCTTACAGTGCCCTGTTCCTATGCTGGACAGGAAAGGAAGAGAGGCAGCAGCACTCCCACTTTTTCCTCAAGCTGTTGTATTCTGCTTGCTTAAGGGTGGGATCTGTTCCAGAAGTCCCTTCTGCCCAGTTCCCCCAGTCTGACATCCCCCCTGCCTCCCCTAAGCAGGTTTAATGGTGAAGGTGAGATATCTGGCTGGTGGGAGCTTGTGGAGCCGCAGAGCTTGTGACACACTTGCCAGCTGAGCATCTGCTGGGTTTTAAGGTGCAGAACCTGGAAATGAGGGCTCCTTTCCAGTTCACTGCTGTGGAAGAATGTTACTTTCCCTAACAACTTGCATTTGTGTAGTGAAAAAACTGAGTGATGACAATGAGGCTGTGATTTAGAAGTAACCTAGCAGGACAGGGCCTATCCAGAAAGAAACTGCTGTTAGCCATTTCCTTCACAAGAAAAGTATTTCTTGCTTGAGCATTGCCAGAGCTAAGCTTGAGACCTGTGGCAAATGGTGTTAGCTGTCTTTTCGCCAAAACCCTGTCTCTATACATGCAGCAGTTTGGAAATGTGCGCAGATAGCAGCGTGAGAGGCTGGAGGAAGCAGGGGGTGGTCAGATGGGGAGAGGGAAAGGTGCAGGGATCAGGAAGACGGATCACCTGGATCCCTTTCTAGTATCAAGCCATGCAGGTTTCCACAGCAGCCAGACCTCTGTCTAGTTGCCTCCATTTTGGGCAGCTCCAGGATTTCAGTGCTGGTAGGACTGAAGATGGGTGTTGAGGGTCAGCCACAACTGAGAAATGGCTTCCTGGGCTGCACCTGGCTGGGAGTTCCACATGAATATTGGGAAGACGAGGCATGGTTATGAAGCTTTTCTGAGCTGGCCTGGTCTTTGACGCTTCAGTGTTTTGGGAGGAAACAGGACTTACTTGATCTCAAAGTGTACCTGACTCTCTTTGAAGGTGTCCCTCAAACTGGGTCCTTTCCATTTCTGTGGTGGCAGTCTAGTCCGAGAAGATGTGGTTATCACTGCAGCTCACTGCGTGGCCAACCTGGAGCAGTAAGTCTGTCCTCCTAACTCTCAGCTTCTCATAGGAAACGGTTCCAATACAATAAGGGCATCTCACGAGCGCGGTGCAGCTTCCTGATTAGGAAGCACGTGGGACCCACATGATCTATTGGGACCAGAGCTTTGCACAATGCAGCTCTGTGGTGGTCACTCCAGATTCAGTGGTGTCTCCGACCAGTGCCCTCTTGCTTGGGGAGAAACACTCACAGAACCAAACCAAAGATGAGGGAGAGGGGTGCCTGCACAGGGAGCTTGTAATTAAAATTTAAATGCCTTGACCAGTCAAAAGACTGGATTATGAGGTGAATTTTTTGCTCACTGAGTTGTGTCCTGAAGAATTAACTACCTGTCTGAGCTAAAAACAGTCTAGAGGGAAAAGCCTTTACAAAAGAAAAGTAGAATCGGCCCTGGCAGATGTCCTATTACTCATGGCAGTTGCATTGGCTTCTGTATTTTAAATGCAAGACCAGCTTTACAAATTGTGCTAAAGCCCTCTTAATGGGCAGAGACAAAGCCTTAACTGCCAACTTTGCCAGCCCTTTTATAATCTGTTATAACGTAACTGCAGATCAGTCAGCTTCACATCTGTGTCTTACTGAACTTGAGCACCGTTTTTAAGGATGGATGTTGAATAATGAAAGTTGCCATAGTGTAAAAAACTTTTATGTGCAAACTAATGAGATACCTCCTTATTTTTCTGTTCACTGCAAAATTAGCTAGTCCTTTTACTTTCAACTGTTATGGCAATAATGCTGCTTGATAATGTTCCCATCTATTGCAGCTTTTTGCACTGCCAGGCAATCCTGGTGTCAAACTGCTGGCAAGCATGGGAATAGTTCACTGTGCTGGTAGACAGGCTCCTGAGATTAAAACTGAGCTGTGTCCTCAGTGGGTTTGTTACTTACGCCTGGAAGTGATCATAAAATGAGGTGAAGGATTTCCTCAGGATGGAAAAATAAATCCTAATTTACTAGCAGTATGGAAGCAGATACCATGATTAAATGCTTCTGGTGCCACAACTCAGGGTAGGCAGTCATAAAAGTGTGTGAATGAACATCAGTACCCCTCAAAGCCCTTGAAATCGTGCAGTGGTATTTTGTATTGTGTAGAGATTATGAAGGGGTATATTTCCACAGAGATTACAGAGGAGGCCCAAAGCAGGTGCTTCCTATTAAACTGCTGTGCATCACCAGAATGGGCTCTGAACCTGTTTTCTGGGCACTGGATTTTCCTGGATCCTCATATCAATGTAGCCTGAAAGGGAGAGATGGTGGTTTCAGGTTTGAATTTTGTCTGGTTTCTGTAACAGTTCAGGTAGGCCTTTAAACCGGCCCTGATCACCAAGATCTCCAGAGAGCCACCAGCTTGTGTGCTGTGTGAAGCTCTAATGGGAGATGCAGCCTAGGGAAGTGAAGATGAGTAGTGCTCCTGCCTCCCATAGGGGACAAAGAATCCCTGTTCCAGGTTATGGCCTTCCTAAGGACCCAGTTTGCATCTGTTAGGCACAGAACTGTCCCACTCTGTGGCTGAAGTCCAAAGAGGGTAATAAATCAGGTATCTGCTCCCTGTGTATTTATTGGTTGCTACTGCTTTGATAGGATAGTTATCTCCCTGTGAACTGGGAAAAGAAATATCTGAAGAGTATTTTGGTTTTGCTTGATTGCTCTAAGTTTAGCTGTGATATTATATTGCTTATAAAATATGCAACAAAACCATAATTGTCTAGCATTAATTTAAACCACATATTTGCCTGAAACCGTTATAAAGCTCTGAAATGTAGGCATCTGCTCATTTCCTAAATGCTTTGATAGCAAAATTAGAAAGGATTTAAGGGATTGAAATGACTTTGGTCTTCAATTCCTGTTGCTTTTAGGGCTCCCCATGTGACTCTTAGCATCCCAGATTGCAGGTAGCCTGTGGCTCAGCTCTTATCTCCTATCTTGGGTATCTGTAACACCAGATGCTGTGGGAGGCCCAGAATAAAAGGTAGCTGATGTTTTCCCCCTGTACAAAGCTGGCTAAAAAGAACTTCTAAGACTTTCCCTGGCCTCCTGATAGCTCTGCCCTTCTTGGTTATGCATAGTGGTTTGATGAATAACAGATGAACCAAAACCTGTATGTCCTTTTGGCTAAGAAAATTAATACGAGGCAGGGGAATAGCCCATCGCTGAGGGCAAGTTCCCCAGGATGGGGGAGGTGGTTGTGGGCTTGAACGCTGGCATCTGGGCAGGGATCTGTGCATGCACTGATGCTGCTTGAGGGGAAAACAGCCCCTTCCCTCCCTAACGCCTCCCTTTCCTGCAGGAAGCTCCTGGGGCGGCTGGTGGTGACGGTGGGGGAGCACCGCCTGCGGCAGGCGGACCGCGAGGAGCAGAGCATCCCGGTCTCGCGCGTGGCCGTGCACCCGGGCTTCGAGGCGCGGCGCTACCCGCACCGCGACGTGGCGGTGCTGCGGCTGCAGCGCCCGGCGCGCACTGGTGAGCCAGGCCCCGCGGTCCCCACGGCTCCCCGAGCTCACCACGAACTCAGTTAAAGGCGGCTGGTTTCAGTTGGCATCGCTGTTTCATAAATACCTGCGAGTGGATCAGCACAGCTTGGGGGGTGCTGATCCTCATGTGAGACTTGGTGCTGGAAGCAGTGGGTTCGTGTGCTCACCTGCGCATCCTTTCCTCCGCAGGGGATGAGGTCCACCCCATCTGCCTTCCCCACAGAGATGAGGACTTTGAGGCTGGGACCCTGTGCGTGGCTAGCGGCTGGGGCAAAATGTCAGAGGGTGAGTAAAACGGCAGGGTCTTCTGGGGAGCGTTACTGGAATACAGGCAGTGAACGAGGAAGATGTTTCATTTCAGAAATAGCAACACTAGAAAAGGTGACTCTTGCCAGATGGAGAGTTAAAGGTCTCCTCTCCTTGTCAGAGGACTGGCCCTGGCAGGGATGTGCAGATCAGTGTTCTCCTGTCCCTGTAAGATCTTGAGTTCATTACTGCAAAGTGCAACCATTGCTAATGCTGTGCATATGCATGCCTACTTTGCACAAGTAGAACTGCCCTGGCAAGGAGCTGCAAATGGGAGAATAGTTCCCTTATACTTAAAATATATACAGCCTTTTATACTGTATCCTCTAGAAACGAGCAAGCTGTTTCCTCAAAGAAATTGCACTTGTCTGAATTTTGTGAGATCTCAAGGAAGTTGGAAACTTTAGCATAGCTTTCTGCCATTTCCTTCTTCCTTCCCTCCCACCCATTCCCCCCAGCAAGGAGATGTCCTGCTCTCACCCTGTTCAGAGATGCTTCTTTTTGCATTAGCTCAGAGCAAAGCAATACATCTACTTGCCGAGCTCTGTGACTTTGTTCAGCGACGCCTCAACAGCCCCAAAATGTCTCAGGGAGGCACTGGGCGCTGAGCTCGTCAGCTGTTCGTGGTGCTGGCCGTGGCTCCCAGAGGGGGACAGTGGCCGCCCTCCTCCTGTGGAGTGAGACGCCTTGCAGAGGGCGGCAGCCACCGCGGGTGCTGGACGTGGCCCTGCTGCCCCGCAGGTGCTGGGGAGCCGGCGGCCGTGCTGCAGGAGGTGGAGCTGCCCCTCATCGACGACGAGACCTGCGGGGCCCTGCTGAGGGACGCGGACCTGCCGGCGCCGCCGCGGGGCTCCGTGCTCTGTGCGGGCTTTCCCGACGGCGGGAAGGACTCCTGCCAGGTACGGCCTGTCCCTGCCGCTCGCACAGCCTGAGTGCTCCTGCCGAGCGGGACCAGCAAATCTTCCTCCTGGGAGAAAGGAAAAAGGCTGTGTTGACAACGCTGCCAGCTCCCTGCTGAGCAAGGGCTCTGCAAGGAGCTTCAGGGTAACTAATGCAGGAGGAGACTTTTGCTGGTGGGAATGCTGATGTGGGCAGGAAACTGCAGTGAATCTGCTCCCTCGCCCAGATCTGTTCTGGGCACTGTGAACAGGAGGAGCCCTGTCCCAGCATGCAGGTGTCGCTGCCTCTGCTTGGACTGGGAGGGACCTTCAGTGGTGGCACTCCATGGGCAGTCCTACCAGGAGACTGAGAAGGAATTTCTCACCTTTTCTGTGGTGGAAAGTGCCACTGCATGAAGTAAGACAAGCTTAGGACATCTGTTCACTAGTGGCAGTGTTAGATTAACACTTGCTCAACACCAGTGCCCCTGTGCTGTTTCCCATAGCAGGAGTCTTGTCTTGCCTGTGCCCTGGAAAGGCTGCCTACTGTGCTGCCACTAGTCTGCTTCAGTTGTACTTCCATGAATGCTTTTGTTAGTACTAAGAAGTAGCTTGAGATGCTCCCCACCTCCTATCATAGCTTGTGCGAACACTTGCAGAGTTATGCTGTAGTTAATGTTGGTGGAATAGTTCTTGTTTTGAAATTACACTCGAAGAGGGGATTGGTGGTGGGAAGGGGTAGGGGGCTAAACTGCAAGTCACTTCAGAGGAGTGAAGCAACATAGCTCCTATATACCTTAGATCCTTTGATGCAGCTCAATGAGCAGCAAAATGCCAGGCCTGGGTGACTGGGGAGATGTGAATGAGGTTGTGCTGGTCTCTGTGGCCCTTCATGTAACCCTAGCAAAGACCCGTGCTGCTGCCATGGGAATAACGTGTTTTTCTTCCCTAATGGGATGAACAGGGTGACTCTGGAGGCCCCCTTGCGTGCATGAGACCCAGCGGTGCCTGGACCTTGGCCGGTGTGGTGTCCTGGGGGGTCGGCTGTGCCAGGGGCTGGGATGCCCCACAGAGGCTTGCCGTGGCCCATGGCTCCCCAGGTGTCTTCTCCCGGGTGGCAGCATTCGTGGACTTCATCGCTCAGCACATGACAGCTGGTAGGTGCAAGTACCTTGAGGCTTTTCTTTCCTACATGTTCATGTTAGAGCTTGAAAACTGTCCTGCCATTTTTACCTTCCCTCCTCTCTCCACAGTGGTCCTGCTTCATTTCCACCCACTTCATAAGTAGCCAAGTAGTTTCTGAATTTGGGATGGTAGAAGCAAAGGTCTGAACAGGTTCTTCCCCCTTCAGAAAGACGGTTATAATAGCAGCATTGACCTTCACATCCCCTGAGGGGGGAAAGCAGAAGGCTACTCGTACTGTCCTCTTTCTGGATGAATGCAATCCTCCTAGCTCAGAAGTGTCCCTTGAGCAGTGAATACCCCTCCTGTTCTCATAAAGGCTCTTTGAGTGTTTGCCAGCTAGAAAGCTGAGCTGCTGTTGCGTTCCTGAAACGGCAGACAGGATTGACTGGGGGGGTTATCTCCTAATCAAATAGAGCTTTGAACGTGCAGGGGAAGCTGTGTGCTGGATTGAGTGAATCGGTTTTACTGGTTTATCAGAAGTGCCCTTTATACGGAGACACAGGTCTAGCCACTCCCTGCAGGACACTTGTATTTTTCTCTGCAGATAATTGTAGTGCTAATACAAGTTATTAAAGTGTCATTAAATTCCATCATAGCCATCAAAGGTGAGGTGTTGGGTATAATACCTGACCTATTGCAGCTTTGCTAGGGCTTCTTAATGATAATGCTGTCTAAAGGGGACTGTATGCAGCTGGGAATGTGTCCCTTAATTGGGAACGATAGCTGCAAGGAGTAGAAGCCATGTGGCTACAAACAAAGTGCCTGCGCTAGCCTTTGCTTAGCAGAACTACTAGGATTCACACAAATCAAATGCTCATAAAGACGAAGGGAATAATTTAATTAAAAGTAAATTTGGAGGCAGCTATTTCAGTTCTTAGGCAAGTGAATGCAGGCCCGGCCAACTGTGTTGGTCAGACAGGAGATTTGGAGGAGGGTTTTAAACAGGCCTTTGGGAAGAAATTGTATGTTAGCATCTGAAACTTCTCTTAGCTGCATGTTAAGTGTTTTACTTGAAACAATTACAGTGCCATAGGCTGTGCTGTGACTGATAGTGCTTGTATTGAAGTATCCCTTATGATGTTTTTCTTTCACCAGCTGCTGTGCCAAGCCCTCTTCCTGTGCCAACTCAGTGCAGTTCCCAAGGCATACCGGTTTTTGGAGAAAATGGTCGTGTTCAGTATCCCCAGTCTTTGCAGGATAATTACCCTGACAACAGGTAACTTGGCTTCAGTAGCCAAATGCTGGATTTTCTGCAAAGCACCTATCGGAGCATTTTCCAGCAGAAAGCATTTTCAGAAGCCTTCCTGGCTGATCTTGGTCTCTTGCCTGATGCTGGCCAGGGAACAACTATTAACTGTGTCCAGATTACAGTGGATGTGAGTCCTCTGCTATGCAAATCCCCCTGTTCTGTTTGCTGGGAAGGACATCCCTGAGGACAGCAGGACACAATCTGTTTAATGCAGACTCTACGTGAGCCACACTCAAAACCATGGCTCAAGAGCTGCTATATCCTTTATCCTTTGTAGTCTGATCATATCTATGTCAGCTCGCACTAAGAAGCTTTTAGCTCTTGCAAGGGATGCAGGAATGAGGAGGCCGGGACTGGCAGGATGCCCTTTGTACAACACAGAGATACTGTAAGGAAATGTCAGTCCCCAACTAGTGCTGAGCAATTTCACAGCAATCTTTTACTATTGGCGACCGTCTTCCCAGACAGCTTATGTAAAGAGGGAAGCCTGTGAACTTTACCAGGTGAAGCTGGTGACATCAGTCATCAGCTTGTGGCCTGTGCTACCATGAAAGGTAGTCATCGGAGATTCCCAATAAAAGGTGGGACCAAGGGCAAAGCTAAGCCATGCAAATATGTGCTTTTACTATTGCTTGCTTCTAGCCTGTGCATTTGGAATATAACAGTGCCAGAAGAGAAGATCATCTTGATACACTTCACCAAACTAGATGTAGAGAGCCAGCTTGGGTGTGACTCTGATTACGTGTCCATCTACTCAAGTACAAGAGAATTAATCAGTAAGTGCCTTGGAGTGAGAATCATGGAGTATAATCTCTTGCCATCGTTTGTCATAAATAGTAGAAAATTTAGCCACACTTTGAGGCCCTTTTTATTTTGCACTGCAATCCTCAGAGTGGAGAGGCACCCCAGTGGAGCAAGGCAAGGGGACTGAGGCACATGTTTATACTTGTGCTGCCATCCAGCACAAGTCGTGGGCTAAAAAGTGTTTCAATGCCTCCCAGCTGTGCACAAATCCTCTGTGCCCCATCTGCTTTGTCTCCCTGAATTCTGGATATCAGAATAAATCGAGTGCTCAGCTGGTGCTTGCCCAGGTGTGTTTCTGATGCTGCACTGTGTTAGTGTAGCCAACAAGTGCTGTGTGTGCTGGAGCCACAGTGCACAAGGCTAGTTGTTTGTCTCAAATTCGATTATATGCAGCAATATAGATTGCTATATCTGTATTGCTGCATATAGCTATGCAGCAAATGTAGGCAAGAGACTAAAAAGTGCCCTTTCCCTCTGAGGTGCTGTTGATTCTGAACTCAGATTAAATGTTTCTTGTGAATATTGTTTGCTTCTCTGCTGTACTTCAGTGTTAATGGTTATTTGCTGATAATAGCCTAATGATAATCCCTAGTCCATGCAATTCATCTTTCATGAAGTTCCTGAGGTTGTTTTGGTTAAAGTCCAATTTCTCCAGTTTTTCGTCTATAGCCTCTAAGTATTTTCAGCTAATTAAAGCAGAGCAGTGTGTCTCTGAGTGTGAAAAGAGACCTTCTTGATGGGATCTAGTGCAATGCATCGCAAAGATTTGTCTGAATAATGCATATTCTGTCCACCCTTAACATGACTTTGTGTCTTCCCTCAGGTAAGATGTGTGGGGATGTGCTACCAGCCCCTCTGCTGATAGAGTCACACAGAGCCACTGTCACATTTGTTTCTGATGGAGGCAATACTGGCCGTGGTTTTGAGCTTGCCTTCATGGCCATCCCTAAGGAATCTGAAGCAGGTGACCTTGTCTATGCTTTGGGAACTCCTTTCACAGTCTTTCTGTCCCCCTTAAGAGAGTAGTCTTAAGGGGGACACTTCAGACACCCCCTTAGTGTGCCTGAGTACCTTAAAAATCAAGTTGTTGAGGTGGATTTATTAAAAATACTGTACAGTTGGCATGGGTTAAATCTTCCTTGTATCCTTCCTTGCTTGTAGGTTCAGGCTGTGGGAGTGTGGCAATCCTAGTGGAAGAGGGAAAGATTGATACTGCTAATTACCCTGGCCTGTATCCCAGGAACACGAAGTGCCACTGGCTCATTGAGGCTCCAGTAGAGAATACCATAAAGGTAATAAAAAGAGAAGCTGTGCTTAAACATCTGCACTAAGAGCAATTCGGGGAAACAGTTCAATAAAATCCTGCCAGAAACATCTGTGACGTTCAGGCTTGTAAACTGTGATTTCCAGGTCACTGACTTTTTGCAGGGCTTATTTTGCCAATTAGGCATTGCTTCTGAGTTGGTGCATGGAGCTGCTTTAACTGCTCCTTAATGACTCTGTTAAGCGCTTGAAATCTGTAGGCACCAATCTAATCTACAGATAGCTTTGTCTTGAAGTCCTCAAACCCTGTGCTGGAAAGGGAAAGGTAGGGATCATCCTGCAAGCAACATAGTCATCCTTTTCCTCCAGTCAGTGTCAGAGCCACTAAGCTCTTTATAGAGGTGTTTACTTCTTGTTGCACATGAGTTATGTGCTGATAGTTCCCAGTTACCGTACCAGAATCCTTCCTCTACTTTTTTACTGCCTATTGCTGTGTGCAGCAAGCATCCTATTGAACTGGTCCCACCTTATGACAGGAGTCATGTTGCCCTCCTGCATTGCTGAAAACAGCATCTTTATTCTACTGCCTTGGTTGAGCAGTGGAAAAAAAATACTGAACCTAGGGCTGTTCATTGGCATACAGACCTGTTGCTTGTGTTGCCATTGCTGTGTTTATGGGAGAATTTGCTGTATGGCAAAATAAGGAAGGTGGAAACCTCCTCCCTATTCCCCCCAGACTCTTGAAAACAAAGTGCTCTTGCAAGGGTGCTCCATATGGGACACAGACTCTTTGCAATTGCATTGAGTGTTGTAGTAAAGATGGAGTAAGAGTATAATGTGGTAAGGATGACCTGAGAAATCCTTTATGGAAAAGGTTAGGCCTGTTTCATCCTCCATATCCCTGCTCTGTAGCCCTGGACAGAGGGAGCAGTTGGGATGGTCTGGCCGAGGTCTCTAGCAGACAGTGGCTGGGTGCAACCTGTGGCCCTCTCAGCAAGGGAAACGATGCCCAAATCTTTCCTAAATGCAGTTTTTACCCTTCTCAATGATAGTTCAGAGTAGGTATTTCAGTTAGTACTTGAACCTCACTGAGTCCCTTTGGCTTGCTCTCTGCAGCTGGAATTTGAAGACTTTGCTGTTGAACTGAGTCCGAGCTGTATTTATGATGCAGTTACTGTTTACAGTGATGCAGAAGAAGAAAACCAGTTGGGTAAGCACTGACTTCAGTCTTAAATTAGAATTTATGGTAAGGAAAAAAACGGACTTTTTAATAACCGCTTACTAGGAAATATTTTGACATCTGATGTATCACCGGAAGGGCAAGGCAATTGCTTCTTGCAGAAACCTTGATGCTCCTGTCCTGCATGTGGGGCCATGGTTGAGTTCCCTCAGGAAAGGAGTTCCCATGTCCTGGTGGAGGTGGCACTTAGCTGCGGCTCTCTGGCTGATATTGCACGGCTGATACAGGACCATAGTTTCATTCTGCTGTCTGGCCAGCAAAAAAGCACACAAGTGTTCTGCTGCACCTTGCTCTCTAAGGAGATGGTAAGAGCAACTCTACCCTAGGTGTCGCTTTGAAGATAAACTTTAAAGAAAAGGCAGAGTGAAAGAACTGTTACCAATTAGTATCTAATTCCACTGAAATGGAAATGAATTCTTCATGAGCTGAACTAACACTGCTGGAATATTGCTAATGAAAAATTGCTAACCTGGGGCACCATACTACCACACTTTCGAAAGGAAATATTTTTCAGTTCTTCACTTTAAAATTACTTTATTTTTATCAATATTAAAATTTTAAGGTAGCATAAGTAAAAGTGTTCCTAACTTCCTTTCTTGAGGAGAACTATGTTTCCTAGTTTTCTTCATGCTTGGACCAAACTGAAGTATGTTGCAACACTTCAGATTCTTAAGAAAGACCTCGGAGGCACTACACTCACTGTAGATGAGTTCATTTTTTTTCTAAATGTGAAAAGCAATCTGATGCTCAGAAGACCCTTGAGTCACACCTTGGCCGCCTCATCACAGGCTGGCATGTGAATCGAGACAGATTAGGATGGCAAAGGACTGGTACTCTTTCCTTTACATAAAATAAGCTGAATACCAGGCTTGTGTTGTCCTGGGTTTGCCACCAAGTGATGTTTCTCCTCTGGGTTGTGGTGGTAACTGTTTTTCATGTTTACCAAGTGCTGAATAAGTATTAACATTAGGTGTCTCTTAAAGAAATCTGTTTTGCATTGGAAATGAGAACATATTTAAATGGGGAAAGAAGGCTGACGACAGAGAATCTGGAATCTTTCAGGGGAAAACTGCTAGCATCCTGAAGCACTTTACTCAATGCTTTCCAGCACAACTTTGCCTTAGGAAATTGTGATTCTAACAGGAAAACTCTTCTGGAATAAACTGCAAGCTTCCTGTCCAGCTCCAATTACAGAGCTCCCATATGCTCTGCAGGCCGAGTGCTCTCCAGAGGATGCAGCAAGTGCTGCAAGTCCTCCTCTTTGCATGTAGCTCATACAGGAGAGGTTCTGCTTGCACCCGATAATGACAGGAAATAGTCCTCTGAGCAGTTCTTGTGCAATGGAGGGCGCTCCCACTGTCTGAGGGTACTTTTAAATCCACTGTGTGAAAACAAGGTTTACTTCTGTGTACTGTAGAATAGCTATAGCACGTTAATCTTAGCTACTCCTGTTTTGAGGTTTCTTATGGAGGCAGCTAATGAACATCTGCAAATGTGTCTACTGGAAAAGTTTGTTCTTTTAGAAAGTCACGAAGTTTCCAGATTTACTTTTTTTTTTTTTTTTTCCTTCTTGGAAGCCTAGATTAGCTAAAGCCAGAAGTGCTTAAGTGATCTTATTTTTCATCCTAAGTAGAGCCTATTCCTTCCTACAGCTAATCTCTGTGGATTCTCCATTCCTAAACCCCTACTGAGCCCTGAGAATACAATGCTGGTGCATTTTGAGAGTGATGGGGAGAACAGCTTCAGAGGATTCAGAGCCAGGCTCACTTTTGTTCATTCAGGTTAGTAGGGAGATGCTTGCTGTGTGCAACAATGTCTACATCACCTGCATCTATTTTTAGGCTCCCAAATTTTTTTTTAGGCTAATCCTGCTGCAGTCTGTCAGGGTAATTTTTAAAACATAATAGTTGCTTGTGGCTCTGAATAAGGGAGATGAATCAAGCTTTTTCTCTGAGAAATGACTAACTTCTGTTACCTGAAATGAGCATCCTTTGTTAATTCTGTCAGTCAGACACCTGCTTTTCCCACATTGAAAGTCTCATTATACAGAAGAGCCTTGAGCCTGGCAGTGAGTCGGCTGTTATTGCCTCCTCATCTCATTAATGTGTGCCAGCTGGTGCTTGCTGGGGGGTGGTGATGGCTTCCCTTCAAGTGGGGATTTTTGAGGGGTAGGGTATGGGGATGAGAAGCCAAACTTGTTAATCCAGGTCAGGTAGAGCTGACTCTTATTTCTTTTCTAGAAGAAGTGGAAAGAGAAAACTTAGGATCAACTACTGTGCCAACATTGCCTCTGGAAGATGGCCCCTTGGGTAAAGAAATTAAATTCTGCTCAGTTGACCTGCTGTTAGAAGCTTTCCTCTAATCTATGACAGCTTTTTGCAATGAAATAGATGATTTCTGACCTCAAGTCCTCTTTTGTGCACATCACATACAGAAGAAAACCAGTGGGGAAATGTCCCAACTTCTCTGGAGGTGTAGCAGCTCCTGTCCCTTCTGGCTGCATGCACTTCCTATTTGTCATAGGGTGAGAGGATGGCCGATGCCTGCTTTCAGTCCTGGCCCTTGCTCCCTGAACCATTAAACTCCCCAGGATTCAAATTTTTGCCTGTATTTCCTTCTCCCACCTCTTCCAGGCAGAGCAGACAAATCCGGTATCTCCTGCATTTTTTGGTCTAGCTGTATCCACCAGCTGTATCCATCCATCCAGATGACCAGCAAAACAAGAGACCTGAATGCAAGTTGCCGGATGGGTCCTAACTGTCTTGCAGGTGCCTGTGGACTTCCTGTGGTTGCTCCCCGGTGGCTGTTCCAGCGTCTTACTGGGAGCGAAGAGGCCTGTCCCCTCTGCTGGCCTTGGCACGCGGCCTTGAAGCTCCTTGGGGACTACCAGTGCGATGGGGCTGTTGTGAGCCCCGTGTGGCTGCTGACAAGTGCCCGCTGCGTGCGGCTGTGAGTGTTGTGTGGCCAGGGTGTCCTGGGCAGCCTGTGACCCTGTGTGATTTACCTGTAGACTACATTCCCATCTTTGCTTCCTCCACTGTGTTTCTGCTCTGCCCTTTCTTTGATTCTCTCTGGGTTTTGTCTGTACTCTGTACATGAAAGTTAATAGCACTATCAGGCTCTGCTACAGCTCTAATTGCAGAGCTGATGTAAGGCACTTGCTGTGGTGAGAAGCTCTTGCTCAGCATTTCTGGGAATAAGTGACTAATTAGAGAAGAGCCAGGAAGTTTGCAACTGCTGCTTTTTTTTTTTTTTTTTTTTTACACAGATCCAATAAACCCTTGCACTGGACTGTGACAGTAGGGGACCATGACAGAGCCCTGAGAGAGTCGACAGAACAGGTAAAAAACAAGCAGTGCTGTTTTTAAAAATGCTGACTGCACTGCTTTTGCCCTTACAGGTTTGTTTGGAGGAATCTGGTATGCATAGATAATATGGAGCTGACAGCAGGACAAAGTAACTGATACACAGCGCATGTTGAGGGTTGAGAAAGGAAATCCCACGACTGATCTCAGGGCTAGCCTGAAAACTGTAGAAGTTTTAGATATGTCTCTCCTCATCATTGCTAAAATACCTAGCAGATGACTGAGTGATCTCAGTCTGGTCTTTGTGCTGAGTAATATATCTGTCCATAAAAAAATTTGCTGGCTATGCCCTCGTCGTAGGGATGAGAAGGAAGAAATACCTGTGAGAAAAGAAGCAAAAATGGTTTCTCATTAGACTTCTGGAAAATCTTCCTAGCTGTGTTTGCACAGTAATAGTTGTACCTCTAGGCTCAGGATATAAGTAACTGTCCTATCACTTTTTTTTTTTTTTCCCCTCCAAAAGAACTGACAAGTGGTTGATTCATTTAGTCCTCACATTTTTATTTTCCTGAACTATTTTCATGATGTACACATTTTTCTTCTCTGACCTAAAAATTGGTTGTTGGATCTATGCTCCTCTGCCTTTACTAGTTTTACTCTTCTTTCTTCTGTTCCATTTTCCTTCAGAAAGCACTTTGGAGGGCACTTGTTCCTTCTCTGGCTTAATCCCTCTGGTCTTGTTACAGAGGAGGCGGGTGAAAGCCATTGTGGTGCATCCCAATTTTGACCCAGTGAGCTATGACTCTGACATTGCCCTGGTTCAACTAGATGCTCCTGTGGAGTACAGCACTGCTGTGAGGCCAGTGTGTTTGCCCAACAGAACAGAGCCCTTATCTTCCTCTTCCCTCTGCGCGGTGTCTGGATGGGGAATCACTGAAGGTGAGTCTTCTGATTTTTGCGTATTTGACCCTTACAAGAAGAACATACTTTTCCATCTTGAATTTTATTCATCTGTTTGTACTTAACCCTAGTAATTGCTCTTTTTTTTTAAGATGCAGTGGGTTTGTGTCTACTTGTGAATAAAGGGAATATTTGTTTGGGGATGCAAGGAATTCATAGTGAGTGCAAGTTGTCTTGTATGGAAAACCTTGGAAGAGATGAAGCACTTGCTTCTATTTGCAGAACTAGACCTTGAGTTTAGTTGTTTTCTGTGGCAAAGTAATGAGCATCAGATTCTGCCCTGGATGAGATGTAATGGCAACCCCTTTTGCCAAGTGATTGCAGTTAGGGTCCATACTAGTACCAGTCCTGGGGAAGAGGAAATGTGTTCTGTAACTAGAAGAGCTGACTTATGAGTAAGCTATAAGTACAAGTTTTGGATAATCTGGAATGAAACTGAATCCCTTCGTTAAGTTGTCTTGTTGCATCTGATATGCTCTAGATATGGACAGCAGAAGATTTGTCTTCTAGGTGAATCCTTTTGGATATTTGTAGTGGAGAGCTTTCTAGTGCTGCAAATCATTTATGGTATAAGTACTGCACAAGTGTGTTGTCAATTTACTCTCCAAGCAGGTGGGAGCCGAGCTAAGCGACTGCAGCAGACACAAGTTCCTGTACTTGAGAATGAAGCCTGTGAGAGAAACTACTACTTAAATCACCCTGGAGGGATCACAACTAGGATGCTTTGTGCAGGTTTTGCCTTTGCTAGAGGGCAGGACTCCTGTCAGGTGAGGTGAAACAAGAGCTGAGTGCTCTGGAAAGTGTCTGTTTCTATCTACATTCAGATGTTGGCAAATCCCCTGGGGGAAGGGCTGGGAAAGAGGATGAGGTGGTAGTGGGGAGGACGAGAAAACCTTATACATTGAACAACTCCAAGAGGTGTCTATTCATGGAATGGACAGTGCTCACAAGAGCAGTAGGTGCAGTTGTTCTCTCCTGGAGTTGTAAGCAAGACATAGTGCTGTTTACTAAGATCTGTGGTCACAGTTTCAGTGTTTCTCTAGATGGCAATTTCTGAGAACTGTAAAGGAGAGGATGTTCTGCCTTGCACTTTCTGAAACCTCTCTCTTAATTCAATGAGATATGTCCTAATTGTAGGTTGCTTGCAACCACTTCTAACACACCCTTTCACAGTAAGCAAAATTACTATGATGTCTATTGGTTTTATACAAATCGTGATGCAGGTAGGTAAGAATAGCCAAGGAAATAAAAGGCAAAATAATTTTGACCAAGGCATTGTCAAGCTTAAAAAGATCCTTCTTGTTATTGCAGTCCTATGGCAGACTGATAAATTACACACACCATAAAATGATTGACTCTAGTGCTCTTAATTCTTCAGCCTGTGCTCAGTCTTTATTCCACACTGCCCTGCTGATGACCAAGCCTTTAAACTGGTGTCTTCATTTCAGCTCGTGGATGAGTTGTGCCAGGAGCTATATACCCTGCTTTTGCACAGAGGTTTGCAGTGACTTCCTTGTCACATCTGATCTGTCACTGCTCTTCTAGCTTACAGCATTCTGGAGACCAACAAAATAACCAAGTTCACTGGTCTCTGCTTCTTAGGGTGGTTCTGGTGGCCCTTTGGTTTGCAGCAAGGAAAATGGACCATTTGTTCTTCATGGCATTGCCAGCTGGGGAGCTGGCTGTACCAGACCAAAGAAACCAGGAGTCTACTCAAGGGTGAGGACTTTCCTGGATTGGATCAGACTAACCATGAAAGGTGAGGTATTTTTGGTCTAAACAAGCTATGTCCTGAATAGCTCTCTAGAAAATAATTTGAGTACATTGAGGCTGTTTTTCTGGAAGAATTTTTTTTGGAAAAAAATGAGGAAAAAATCCAGGCAGTGTTGCTAATTTTCCTGCAGGAAGCGGTCGTCGTCTTCTTCCTCATCCATTTCTTCTAAACAAAGGTGGGTGGAAATCGGAATGGGACTTCTTAGTAGCATAACACATGTATTTATATTCAATTTAAGAGGCAGAAGTGCTAAACTTTGGACAGTTTTCTCAATGAAAAGAAGCTGCTGCTGCAAATTACAATCTGATTTATACTTTGATATACAGAACTATTTGAAACAACACTATAAACTGAACTAGTGCTTGTATGTATCTAGATATAAATGCCACACTGTAGAATAAATTTCTCCAAAACACACTAGAGAAGGAATAATTTATAATAGCTTGTAGCAAATAGGGACTGACATTGCCCACAGAAGTGATAGGTCCGCTAGAGACTAATTTCCTTAAATTGGTGACCTTTATCTACAGAAACAAGGGAACAAAACTGAGGCGGCTTAAATGACCCTCAGCACTGTCATGCTCTTCTCTGTGCTACCTGTCTCTGTTTCTTTCTCAGCAGTTTCATTCCTACTGAAGTTCCTCTGGGCAAGGGTAAGTTAGTTCTGTAGTTTCACTGGTAAATGGATAAACATACCACTTTAATTTCTTTAGTCTGAGGGGATATTCTTTGAGAGATCCCAAAGAGCCTCCAAATTGCCTCGGGTCTGTTTTTTTTTTTTCCCCATGTTAAATAAACTGACTTGTTATTGAAAAAGTGCTTAGCTTTGGACTTTGGCTCAAAGTAGTTGCACTGGGAAAAAGTTGATGCCAAATATTTGTCTTCCAAAGCCTTATCCTTCCCCCTTGCCTGCATGTACACTCTCATACATCCAAGAATGTAATTCTCTCTTTAGTAAACAGCTTTGTCCCACAGCCTTTCTTGGGAAAGAAAAGAGCTAATCCTGGACAGAGTTTTCATATTCCTGCCCATCCTGTATTTTATTATATTTCTGCTAATGGAAAATGGAGGGTTTCTGGTAACAAGGATATGCTTTTTGCTGTATCCTGAATAAAGTCTGTTACAGTTATGAACAGGAAATTAAAGTGTATAGTAAAGAATAGTGTGGATAATGCTTCATTCACTCAAGTCAGATGAGAATTAATTTTTCTGCTTTGTACTGCTGTCAGCAAAAAATCCTCTTGCAAGGTCATTCTTTACTTTCAAGTCAGTGTGAGACTATGTTAGTACAGGTGTGAACTAAGTATGAGAACTTTCTGTTAACTAAAACACATAAAAATCTAATCACTTGTATAGTAGCCAGATCATCTCTGCAAGTAAGCTGAGAGCTGGCTGCAGATCTCTTCCATTTGCTTGAGTGAGTCGAATGCAACTGGCTGCTGACCACTGGCTGTCAGCTGTAACAGCTTTTGTGGATTTCCTGTATATCAGGCAGTTTGTGCAGGGGAATTGCAGCGCTCTGTAGCTGTAAATCCTTGCCAGTGGTGACAAGGATTTACAGAACCTACTGCATATGAACCCTTTATGTGCAGTTTCATGTAAAAGGTTCAAAGCTCTGAAGGCTCTGAGGCAGGTACTGACCATTGTTTCCTCTATCTGACTTTGGTACAAGCGAAATAGCCTTCGCACTGCAGGAAATGCTTGGCCGTAATGAATGTTGCTCAGTGAGATGTGTTAAGTTGGCTGCACACGTTGTATCTTTTCAGGTGGTGAACAGAGCATACTGCAGGGAAGCGATGATGGACTCGGGACCTCGGCATGGGAACAGCCAACAAGTTTGCCCCCAAAGTACACAAATTTTGGGAGAGAAGCATGCGAACCAGGTGATAGCTCCTTGGCTCTGTAGGACCACGTGTAGCAGTCACATACAAGGGACTGCAGCACTTGCTTTGCAGAGAATGGAGGAGCTGACTTGGTTTGAGCAGCTCTGAATGGTGACTGATAGCAAGTGTGAGACCCCAGACATCATGGTGCAAATGAAGTGTGTGATTTAAAACACTTTCCCTGTCCCCATTCCTCCCCCTCAGAGTTTTGATCCATTCACTGGGAGAGGGGTGGGAGGAAGAACAAAGTGTAGCCTAGAGAAGAGACCCTGTTGTGACTAGAAACAGGCTCACCCTGAATAACAGGGATCTACTAACATTGCTGTACAGGTTTCCTGTGCCCTTGCATATGTTCCCTTGTCCCCTTTACTTATACCTTACTATATATGAAATGAGGTGATAATTTATTTCTTTAATCGTCTGTCCTCAGGACTGGGACTTACTCAAGATCTGTTTATGCTCGCATTTAGCGTGAGTCTAGGTCCTGGGTGAGGCATGAAAAGTGATGAAAAGGTTGAAGTACCCTCTAGCTGTGACAAGGCAGTGAGCACTATCACTTATGGCTTTAAAAAGCAATCTGTTCCTCTTCAGGAGGAAGTGTGTTACTGCACAATTCGGCAAGCAGATTTGGTAAGGGTTAGCACGCAACGTGGGCTCTCCTGAAGGAGAAGCACTGAGAGCAACCTGAGCACAGCACTGTGGTGCTGAGCTTGTAGCAGCTTTGGAAATGCACCCAGGTTCCCACCTTGATGGACTCAGGTCACTGGTGCGTGAGGTCAAAGCTGAGGAAAGCACCAAGTGCTGGAATGACATCAGTTGGAAATGACCCAGAACACTCAAGCAGGTTTTTAAAGCGAACCGGGAAAAGCTATTATATCTCAACCTGATCAGCTTTACCATCCTTCCCTATGGCTGCTCTGCCTTTCTCCACTAACTTCAAGGGCAGAGCCCAGTCCCTCCTGGAGGGATGGAGCGTGTGTGTAGCAGCCAAGTACCTATGCTTGCATGCACACTGTGATACTCGCTGCATCTCTGCTATGTGGCATCCCATAGCACCTACTCAAGGAGAAAATGCTCCTCTATCTTCCATTTGGCACTTGAGGATTGCCAACCTGCCAAGGGGTTCAGCTCTCATCTTACTCTGTGCTGCTGGCGTCTTTCACAGGTACACAGAGACACTGAGATGCCAGTGTCTCATCACAGCAGAAAGCTCATAAATGTTGGTGCAGGAGGAATCATCCTTACACAGAATTAAAGCTGTTCTACACAAGATGTGACTTTAAAATTGCTGCCTTGGGAGGCGAGTAACCCCATTATGTTAGGTACTAAAGGGATGCACAGTTCTCATCAGTGATTTTGTTTTCTCTCCTCCTGCACTGCTTTAACTACTCAGCAGCTTCTAAATATTTCCCTGTTGATTTGCTCTCTTATTTAACAAGTATCGAATCTGACTATGCTGTGTGTAGGCTAACCCAGCTTTGTTACTGTGTTTCTAGAGAACCGGAAAATGTGCAGACAAAAGCATGATATTTTATACTATATTTTATACTATTTCATAGCTCTTGTCAAAGGCTTGTCACTAGGTTAACATATATATATAAACTTTTTCCAGACTTGGCACTGAGAACCCCTGAGTTAGGCTGGTGTATTAGCCTGGATGTTTGGCCAACCTGCTGCCTATTTTCAGGCACTGACTTGAATCCTCA